ATGATGTACAATGCCGATTAGCATTGTGGATATCATCTGAAGAACTCCAAGACCATTACAATTTACATCCTCGTCCTTGTTCTGGGCGGAGATCCCGTATCGCTCATCTCCATGATTTCTCACCAGTCATAAAAGAAACGTATTGATTCTGCGAACAAGGTCCGAGGCTTCTTTCACTAAGTAACGAGTTGATTTCCTTCAAAGTTTCCAAAAGCATCCTATTTCTACCCATCCACAATTTGCTTTTGCAACCCGAGACGTATATGAATTCCTAATTGAAACCTTCCGAAGATCTGACCAGAACCACATCTCGAACATGAAGTACTTGATTTGACTAAGGTTCCGTAACGGTCAGCGTTAAATCAGGCGTGATGTGTACTCTTAATAATGCATGGGACTATTCAGCGAGAGCCACTAACACTACATGTTTAATCGTTTCCTTGTTCATGGAACAAGAGCATTATCTCACCAATAGTGCCTCCTGTAGAACTCATTAAAGGAAGCGACGGTTGCGATAGTGTTAAAGGTTACGAGAAGAGTCATTTTAAAGACATTACCAGGAAGGGTCAATGCTTATAATTCCTGTATGCCTCTGCTCTGGCGATAAGGTATTCATGTGATATGTTTAATACACTGTACTTTCAGAAGATGAAACTAAGGAATTGTAGTTTTTCGGCGTATTTGCATGTTGTAAAACTGTATTTCGATTGAAATGAGGGAAATGAAACTGATAAAATGCATATTAGAGATCACTGTGCAATGTTAATGTAACAAATAAACTGCTGCTAATATCATTTCAATCAAAGATGTCATTATCCACAAAGTATTACTAAACAGACTCGTAAAAGGGGATTATAAATAGAAGCTTAATTGACAGCTGACGACTTTGTTTTTAAGATCATACACGAGAGCAGCGAGAAACTGCTGACACAAACGAAGTAAAATTTCATACTACCATTTAAGCACTATGGACGGTTTGTTAGTTATATAAATCGATACACCTTTAATCATTCGAAATCATTTTACATAAGTTGCCTATGTGTTATCCCTTGATGGATCCAATAAATTACTATGTATTTTTATTGCAAAGTAATTAACTGTATCCTAATATTAGCAGATGCCTCTCTCAGTAAAGTAGTGTGAAGGATATATGAACACAAAAACAATGAAATACGACATATTGAACCTTCCAGTATAAATGGTTCAGGTGGATATGAACTGGCAGTACGTACGGAAATATATTACACTTGTTACTGATCAAGCAGAGACGATGGTGAAACCATGCGCCTAAAGGACAGGCATCTTTCTATTTTGAAAATGGTTAAAATACGCGCAGCCCTTTTCTAATATTCACCAGTCGTGATTCGTCCATGATTTTGATTAAAATATGAAAACTAACTCACTCACAAACCATAACGCTACAGATAGATAAAAGTATGTAGAAATCAGTTTGGAGTGATAAATGATACACATTTACCGGCTCCCTGGGTGTTAAAAGCTGAATATTCACCGGTCCCTTTGAAGCAACAATCACCCACTCACTCACTCATCTGTGATGATCGTCAATGTAAAACAAGTCAGCTGGAAAATAATCTCATAATCCAACGAGCAATTACTACCACATCAAATGTTTTACTTGACTCCACAGGGGGAATATACCAATCTAACATGGCCTTGTGAATATGTCTACACTGAAGTCTGGTTTGACAACCTTTGGTTTTAATATCTTGATATTTGTGATCTAAATCAAACTAAATGCTGATTTTCCAAAACCAGGATCAGAGCTTCGCCTGGAATGGGACTTTCGTATGGTCTGTTTTTGGTTAGTATCTCATTCTGAAAGGACAAATATAGATCATTACACATTTTTCTATCATATCTTACGATCACGTAGTAAGCCTTTTCGGGACACAAGATACCAACGTCATTCATTGATGCTAACAAAGCCATTGATAATTAAAGTATACTTTGAGTTGGACTGCTTGTCAAAAGAGAAAGAGAAAATGGACTTATTATTTTCATATTCGAACATTTACGGTACAACAAGCCAAAAGACGATTTATTGTCGCTTCGACTGAATGAACATAAACCAATCAAAATTTCTTTAATGTTATTATATATTATTTCACACACATTTAACTCTCACACACAAAGAGAAAAATAAGCTTCTGAAGGCTTCCAACAGCACTTTAGTAATAGCATCGAGAACTTGTGTGACCACCCCGGGATGACGTACTGATGGGTTTGTGATCCCATTAACGTATGTTCCTCGTGCTCTACGTTGTCCCGCACATTAAGACGCCCAATCAGGTGAGCGTGGTTGCCAGGGTAACACAGATACGTTGTGGGTGTTGAAAAACTATTCGAGCAGTAAAGGTGAAGGACATCTGGCCGTAGAAAGACATCCATGTTACTTAAAGTTTCCTCTGATGATAATGTGACTTGTCTTCCTTTCACCACAGATACCGCCCCACACCATGACGCCACTGCTTCCTGAAAGGTAAATCTCTTGGATGTATCCCAGAACAAATCGATCACCTCTCCATTGATACATCCGCATCCGATCATCGGGATTTGAACCGAATTTGAACCAGCACTCGTTAATGAACAACACCCTTGACCAATCCAGACAGTGCTTACGTCACACGGTACGAGACGACTGACGTAAATTTCTCCAGTGCTGACAGGTCAAGGCCATTCCGCAGTGGCGACTGTAGGCCGTTCCAGCTCCATGACGTCACCGTCAGGAAGAGGATGCTCAGATGTAACATCAGCGGATGTAGCCCTATTGTTAAATTATGAGTGTTCAAGAAGATGGGCAATCGTTTTCGCCCTTAAATCAATTTCTTGTTCCGGTTTCAACTCTCACAGACTGAGTGTCAACGTTAAGTGTATTACAATATTTACGGCGCATTTGTGCTCATGTTCGCGGTCCCGGATTCCCCCTGATGATGTTTTCATGTTTGTCATCACAAGATGGTATAGGTCTTAGACTCACTTGGGAGTTTCTTCCATCATCAAGCTATCACACCACATTCCATGCAGTGATATGCCTAATTCCATCGTACCTATAGAGATGTATCCTTTGTATATATTCAAACACTACCGACAGCTATCCTGGTATCCCTGCCTGTCCAGTGTTCCCGGTTTCGTGCTCACCCGGTCTGAACAAATCGGTGCGATTGTCCAGTTGCTGGTTTCCAAAGAGTTGAACTTTGTGACCATTTTTACCAGGTTCAATAATATAAACACCCTAAACTCTCTCACGCATACAATGATGATTAAATTATATTGCATTCATAATTTACTCACATTCTTAGATGATTATTATAAGTAGATCTGTGATGAGTAACGGATCAAATATTCCACATTAACGTGGAAATCGTTCCAATATAAGGTTCGAGTAACAGTGATTAATAAAAGATAGATATTCCGTTAGTACGAACAACAAATAAAGAGGCTATACTTCGACTAATGTAAGCTGTTAGAATGATTCTTCAGCTGTAAAGAATGATAAATATTTCAGGAAAACGACCTTTGGTGGGCTGCTTAGTGCCACGATGATGTTATATTATGACGTTCCTTGTGTTTAAACCGTCTTGAACTGTTTGCCAAAGGTAGACATGACGTCATGACGAACAATTTAGCAATACCGCAATAGGCACGGATTAGAGTAAGTTCAGTTTCAGTTAGAATTACCAAAACTAATAACCCCATATCCGCAGCCCTATGGGTTTTAAACAAGCTGAGGTCTCGTTTTTTCCGGGCAATATCTGCTTCTTTCTGAGCTAATATACGTCGTTCCATCTCCGCCCATTTAGATCATTTCCTCGGCGTAAACGCATGGTGTATGTGACAAGAAAGGCGAATTCATTAACTCAGGTATAAAAAGAGATTTCAAGTAGGTTTGTTAATGTTTGTTCAAGTTGTAAATTGCTTAGAACGTATGTAATTACAAACGTGCCGTACAAACACATTCCATTAGGATTAACAGTGAAGGATTCCCGTCGGAGCCTTTGACAAAAATTGTAGCTAACTTGAGAAAAGCGAAAAAAGCAGTTTCCCAATAACGCAGGGGTTTTCGTCAGAAGGCGCATCACGCAATGGCCCCGCCGTTAGCCCACAGTAAGCCGAGGCAGTGAGAAACTGAATTAAGGGATTTATGTTGACTTAAAAACCAATGACTCTTGGCATACGGGAAGACGGTTGATCCTTTCAGAATAGAGGGATCGCGTCTCCATGGGAGGAATCGGAAGATCTTTCTTAGACCCTCTCGAGTGACACCCTCGGCCCAAGTCATCAATCATGCCAAATTGCGCCATTAATAAAGGTCGGCAACGGGAGGCAAGTCATATGCGGTATGAGAATATCTGCAGTAACGATAGCCATACGCAATCTGACAGACGGTAATCTCCACGTGGTCATTAGCATGTGATGAATATTCAACGTGAAGGTAATCAGACATCCAATCTGGTACAGCGGTGTTTGAGCGACACGAGGAATTTCACGTGAGAAAACTAAACAATCTGCGAAAGATCTGTGTTCAGCAAGTGTCTAGATACGAACACAAACTGCCATGCAGGCTAGAAAGAAAATTTGATCTTAAACATTTCTTTATCGGACAAATTCACCCATAGAAAGGTGTAAAAACCTCTTACAACAAATAAAAATTCCCAAAATGCACGTACACGTATAAAATATGTATTTGACAAAATATTTTATAAAAGTAACTGCTGTTACTTTAATTAACCAATTTGAACATTATTCAAGGTAACATAGTGGTTATGTCATCTAAAAGTATAAGATTACATTCCATAAAACATACAGACTGTTTGACAAAATATCACAGACACGCACACACACGCACACACACACACACACACACAGACACACACAAGTGTGTGTGTTTGTACATTTCCATCTAAAAAAGGAGTCATGATTTCCAACAAATACAAATGACTATTCAGAAAGCGAAATCAAATATGAAATTTCTCACTCACCTAATGATGTTGCAGGAACCAGGCACAGAGTCACAATGACACATGACTGCATGTATAACAGTAAACCCATTGTCACGGTTCACGGGTTAATCAGTATCTCTTACGAAGTTCTGCAATAGATAACAGTTGCTCCGAAAGCTGTCGTCAGCCACAGAATAGAGGCGGCATGCCAGGATGAACGTTACTATCTCGACACTCACTCATGTGTTAATGAAACCAATTTGCTAGAAAGAATGGCAGTCTGAGGGCCGCTCACAGCTGGGAGTCACAGTAGTTGTCACGCTAGCCCTATAGATGCTAGCTTCCTGTTCACTTGGTGTGTCACAGCTCCAAAACAAACAGCCAATCACAGGCTCCGGACTTCACGGTTACTTTCAATTTGCACATTGACTTCTGACCCCCGCACTCCAAAGCAACTGACTGTACACACGGCAGGAGAGTGAATAATCTATCACAAAACGGCAAGCACAGAACAGCGAGAAGAGGCGGAAGCCAACAAATCACGTTCTTGCATGTTCCGTGATGGAACTGGAAAGATACCCCAGATCACCGGCTCTACGAGCTTATCGTGTTCCCTCAAACCGTTTCCATACATTTGTACTGCATGGTGCACAAACTACTTCTGTCCGCCTGGCTACATGCTCACTCTGAAACTTCCTATAGGAGATCACACATCCTGTGTGTTATACAACATGCCTTTGTGTCACTCCATAACTAATGCCTTACCCTTAACCCAGACGAAAAGACTAAACAGATTTGGAATGAGTCATTAAGCTTCACCTCCTCACTGAATCATTGATCATGGGTCACAACGGTACGGATAACCAGTCGAGAAGTTAAGACCAATCGAGCCAAGTGTTTTTATAAGAACAGAAGAGACCCAACTTGAGGATTGCAATACATTTTTCATAGTCTTAATATACAAAGAGAAACTATCGATTTTTAAGTGTATATGAAACAGAACCTTATTTACATCAGTACTGCCTCCAAAGGAAATGCAGCATTGACAGCTAATTGTAAAGCTGTACAAAGTAGCGGCATCAACAGTAGGTTGCTTTCAATTTCTATTGCTCATCTGGTCGTTTGCCCAATAAGGCTTATGTGCTAATGCTAAGGGTTTTCCTTGAGGCTTCATCCATATATCAACGTCCTGTCCACTCTATTTAAACATTTTACATTACTTCAGTTGAGGCTTGGGAAATATTTTAAAGGTTATGAAGCGGCATCGTGCTCAACGCTCTGGGGTATTACATGATTACGCTGCAGACGAAGAGCGACGCAGAAGTATTGAATGTTGATGCTATAGGTTATACGTTGAATGTGTTAGATCAATATCTTAATTCACTATTGAGTAATTAGTCCAGTTTATTCCGAAATTCTGCTATAAAGCGTTTGTAATGAAACGCTAGCTATCAAGCAAAAGGTTTTGAATCGGTATTGAAAATGATGCTAAGTAAGAGATTATGTTCAATTGCATGTCATATTTTCAAATATTTTCTCATCATATCTGCAGTGGAAGTCACACTTATGATAACATGTCCCTTGACGAAACCAGTTACCCTGTTATAGTAGGGTTATAGACTACTGCGTATATGTATGTATGTATGCATGTATGTATGTATGTATGTATGTATGTATGTATGTATGTATGTATGTATGTATGTATGTATGCATGCATGCATGCATGGATGCATGGATGTAAGCATGTATGTGTGTATGTATGTGTGTGTATGTATGCATGCATGCATGTATGTATGTGTGTGTATGTCTGTGTGTGTATGTATATGTGTATGTGTGTGTATGCATGCATGTGTATGTATGTATGTATGTGTGTGTATGTGTGTGTGCGTATGTATGTATGCATGTATGTGTGTGTATGTATGTATGTGTGTGTATGTATGTATGTATGTATGTATGTATGTATGTGTGTGCGCGTGCGTGCGTGCGTGTGTGTGGATGGATGGATAAGTAGATAGACATGTACATATAGTGTTCGAAAAAAGTAGGGGATCATACCATACATTAGAATAAGTGTTAACGACAAACATCCGGTGCAGGAATGTTTATATCTGTACAATATAACACAAAGCAACCAATAGTTGTACGTGTAGTACGCAGTAGTCCCACAATCGTCAGTAGGATGGCATTCCTTAGTTTGATCATATGAAGGAAGGTACCCTACCGTTAATGAATTTTACCTATCATACGATCGAGACCTACTTGATTTCATTCATCGTTTGTGTGTGAACAAGCGATGCGGCGTCTGAAACAGGCCTATTGGTTTACTTGAAACTGGCAGAAGTCGTCGTGTAGTGGCCAATATGTCCATGATTAGTACGCTGTGGAAGAGGTCCCCAAACCCAAACTATTTACGATCGACCCCGTTCCGAGTGTTCGACTACTCCGAAACCAAGATCTACAAAATCGAGCTCAAACGGCGAATCGAAAGGCTGAAGTTTTCCATGAGGCAACTGGAGTGCGAGTTACGGGTCCACATGCGCGACCGCCTCCGTGGTGTAGTGGTTAGAGCGTCCGCCCGGAGAGCGGGTTCGATCCTTGATCGGGTCATACCAAAAGACGTTAAAATATGGTACTTGTTGGTCCCTGCCTGGCGCTCGGCATTACAACAAGGTACAAGGTACAACAAGGACTGGTCGGCTCGGAGTCAGTATAATGTGTCTGAGTGGGGTATTCATGCTTCACTGCGGCGTGGTATCTCAGTGGGCTAGCACTATAAAACCAGCTTAAGTCTGGGCTAGTATAAGCAGCCGCACATACACATACACACGCATGCACATCGTCATATGAGCGAATATTCTCAAGCACGACGTTAAACCCAATTTCACCTCACCTCACCTCACCTCACCTCACCTCACCTCACCTCCACATGCGAATCATCTTCATTGTCGACGGCCACGTGTTGAGCTGCCCCTAACGAATCGCCATGTTGATATATACTGTACACAAACTGGGGTAATCGTCGCCCATTACATTACATGTTTCAGTAGTGTCTGTATTCACTATGCACATCCCGGACTTGTCTTGCTGTCGACATGATACACTATGACACCGATGGATCGGCTATAGCGGGGGTGTCATCACTACGACTGAGCAAATCCCACTCGATACAGTGAAACCAGTGAAGATCTGGGTAGGAATTGATCTTCAGCAACCCATGCTTGTCGTAAAAGGCGACTAACGGGATCGGGTGGGCAGGCTCGTTGACTTGGTTGACACATGTCATCGAAAAAATAGCATGTGTTGGTTTCAACAAAGAAGTAAATGTATCACACTGAAAACAGTGTGACCTATGAATAATTCATAACGAGCATTTGAAGTGTGTATGAAACAGAACCATATTTACATCAGTGCTGTCTTCGAAGTTTTTGTGTATTTGGAAATGTCAGTGGGGTAGCCTAGTGGTTAAAGCGTTCGTTCGTCACGCCGATTCGATTTCCCACATGGTTACGGTGTGTGAAGCCCATTTCTGGCGTCTACCCGCCGTGATATTGCTGGATTATTGCTAAAAGCTGTGTAAATCAATACTCACTCACTCACTCACAAATGTATCAGTTGACCTGTATCATAAATTGTAACTCTGTAAAGAGAATAACAAATTGCTTGCTTTTGTATTGTCTGTAATGGATATATGTGTTTTTAAAATATAACTCTTTTGGACCTTGGACTTAAAATGGTAATGAATGGAAACTTGATCTAGTCACTATATGGCTGGAATAATGCCGATGTGAAGTAAAGCCCAACCCAACTCAACTCAACTCACAAATATATCAAATTGTTCGATACCTCATCCTCATGTCGTCTGAACCAGAGGCCCACTAACAATCTTGACCCAGTCTGAGTCTATATTGAGGAACCATCTTTACAAATCCACAAGTATTTCAGTAACGTAAGTGGTCGCATCACATTTGAAGATAATACTTCTGTGTTGTATCAGTAAATTGGGATAAGTTAGGATATTATTTGAGTAATGGTCCTTCATGCTCTATGTGGCTTCAATTTGATTAATTTTACAAAGTTGCATTCCTTGCGTACCAGGATCCGATGTCATTCAGATTCTTTCCTTCCTCAGCATAACGATGCTCCTGTTTACTCAAACCTGGGAACATTCCACGCTTCTTTTACGCTTTTCTTTCAAATCAAGCCGACACACGACAGTGTAACTGATGTAATGTTCAAAGCGCTGTTAAACCTTACTGGTTGAAGATAACAGATGCTATTAACCAAATAGTTTTTGTTGACAGTTTACACGACCACTGAAGTTGATTTCATTTGTTTAGTGTTTCCATATCGTCTCCATTTGTTGAACCAACAATAACTGTTTGAATTGAATAGGTTAGCTATGTCATTAATATCAACCATTGTTTCATTGTTACAGGGATACCAATATCAGTGAAATATGGCCATCATGGCCTGCAATAAAACGCTTTCTTTTTTATGAATAACGGTCCAATTTACAATCAGTTATTTCAAATCGATACCGCAAGTTACACCAGCTACAAGCTTATTGTGGACATGTAATCACCTTTATCACTTAAGTGTGAGATCTTTGACATCTGGGGTCCCCACGTCCGTGTGAATAATTTATAAACTCGTTCCATGTAAGCCAGATCGTTTTATGTTACAGCTGTGTGTTATTTCATTGCAGCTGAAGCAATCCACAACTCCTGTTTTTGGAAGAGCTTGGCGTCAAACACATGATGTTGTAATACAGTGTTCACTGGCTGGATTATGCCGAAACAGACAGTATATAGGAACTCAAACCGGTTTTCAAATTTCATTAAATAAGCAGACCTGGAAGCGTGATTATAAATCCGTCAACACACGAATGATTGAAGTTTCACGGTTTCAGCCATATTGCCCTTGGCTTTAAACATTTTCATGATAGTTTTTGGCTTCAGTGAGACTCGTTCGCGAAGCACATGATGCAGAATGTGTTACTCGCATCAAATATCGGGCCACGTTGCACAATATGTCACTTTGATATTACAGGCATTGTGGTAGGGAGTATGCTGTTTCATTTATCTCTGGTCGCAATACATTCAATTGAAATATATTAACTTGGGTGCCTCGCATGGAAATGCAGCTATACAGAATACTTGAAGAACAAATGTGCACACAGAACTAGAATGGCAATAATGACACGTGGATGTAAAGATTTTATCCTGTTCTACCACCTCTGTTGACAATGTTCACTATGTATTATTTTATTTATCTGTAAGCATACAATATGAACGTGACCTTGGTATGAATTAATATAATTATTGTCCGGATGAGAATACTTCAGCAGCCCATGCTTGTCGTAAGAGGCGACTAAATGGATGCTTGTCGTAAGAGGCGACGAAATGGATCGAGTGGTCAGGCTCGCTGACTTGTATCCCAGTTGACACATGTATCCCAGTTGCGTAGATCGATGCTCATGCTGTTGATCACTGGATGGTCGGCGGAAACACATTTGGCACTATATGGTACATGGAAGGTTTCACTCTGACACAGCAGTCCTCCTGTCTAATCTCTAC